ATTTTTATATTTTAATTAATATATATTTTATAATAAACAATATAATTTTAACAGATTTATAATGCAATTATAGGTGATTAATTATAATTTCGTTAATTTCAACCTTTTTGACCTTTTGATCAATAAGGACTAGATTCAGTAATAGGTTTCAATAATTATAATAAAAATTTATATTTTATTATACATCTAATTATACTTTTTAAAATATTCAGCACTTATATTATAATAATATTTAAAATTTATTAACTTCAAAAATTTATTTTAAAATAATATATATATTATTTATTATTTAAAAAAATATTGATTTGATACACTATTTTTGCTTAAAAATATAAGATAAATTGTAATCTATAGTAAATTTCTTATTCTTTTAACATCGTGATGGGTTACTAAAAAATTTATTAATTAGAATATAAAATGTAAACATTAATAATATAAATCTTTATTATAATTACCTAATCTCTTCTAAAAGTGAGTTCAAAAAAGTTTGAAATATCTTGTACTATTACGCGCCTATAATCTTCTTCTAGGTCTTAAAGAGCTTCACTATGAAAAAGACAAAAGTTCTAAATATCAAAAAATTATTGAAGTATCAGACAAATATGTTCAATTCTTAATTTCTTATAAATTATATAAATTAATTTATATTTTTTCACTTGTATAGTAATCTCTTATGAGATTTTTCCATTTTTGACTATATTATTGCTCGTAAAATTTGTATTATACTGATTATTTATTCTAAATTTACAATACATGAATTATTTGAATTTTGAATTTTTTTAACAATAATTCAACACAGCAAGAAGGTATCAAGATTTCAATTCAATACACTCAAAGGTATGAAAGTATACCTATATAATTTTAATTTAACACACTCAAAAGGTGCAAAAGCATACTTATGTGTAAATTTTAATTCAACATACCAAAAAGGTATAGAAGCATACCTATGATAAGATTTTAATTCAACACACAAAAGTGTAGAAGCGTATCTAAAGTTTCAATTTAATACCCATATTTTGAAAGGTAGAAGCATACTCTATAAATATATTAAAAATCTATGTCTCTATTTAAATAAATGCTCAAGATTAAAAAAAACTTTAAAAAAAAAACTTCTTCTTTTTCGTATATTGACTATTTTTTTAAATGAATGTGTCAAATATTTTATATAGTTAAATAGGATCTCAGAAACTTATAATTGATGTTATTGGCAAGCTCATAAGTAAAAAAATCATAAAATTTTTTTATAGATTTTACCATAAATAGATAAATTAAACTTTAATTTTTGCCAATAATATCAATTATAAGTTTTCAGAGTTCTAGTCAAATTACATAACTTATTACATAAAAAAATCTCAATATTTAAAACTTTAAATATACTTTATTTCTCTATTCTTTTAAGCTCAATAAACAAAAAAAACAAAAATCGTGCGTAGATTTGAAAGATAAAAAAGTATCCAAAAAATCCTATAAACCATCATCTAGAAACCAACAATTATTAATAATTATTCACATTTTTATAAATATTAAATAAAAAATTTTTCATACAAAAATTTTTTTATAAAGAAAAATAAATTATTCTACTTTTTGAGTCCAACATGCAGACACAATATATAATTTTATTATACCTTCCTTACTGGTTACGTTTTAATTTTCAAAAATCTATTCTTATAAACTCTTAATTAGAGCAGATACAAAAAGTATAAAGCAAGGCAGGAAAAGCAAATTCTTATAAGTATAACTTTTTGTAATTATGGTATTAAATTATTACTGATTTCATTTGAATTAGATATATAAGTGTAAAACCTTAAAAAATGCAAGCGATTAAATTATAAGCTTTCAAAAAAAACTCACTAAAGCAATGCGTAATGAGTCATTGCATTTCAAATTTGAGGAATTTGAAGTATCATTTTCAAATCTTTGAATTATAATTATTACTGTTTTTAATTAATATTTTTCTTTTCACATTCAGTCAGATATTGAGGTGATACATAGAAAAAGAGACAAAAAATAGGTAACAAAAGTCTATCTTCATTTGAACAAGTGTTGAGTGATAAATTTTCAGTTGATAATCTTCATATAAATGAAGAAAATATTCATTTATTGATTGATAAATGGTGTAAAATAGCTAAATATAGTTAAAGAAATACACAAACAAGAGTATATTCTTTATCATTTTATCTTAGTAGCTGTTTGAGCTGAATTAACATTTGTATATATATTGTATTTAGTTTGTTGTGATATTATATTATAGATATGATTAAAACATCAGCAACTCATATTTTTGAAAGCAAGTAGGATGATTTGATAAATAATATAAAGGCATTATGACTTTCAATAATTTCAGTTATAATAAAGAATGTGATATAAAGGCATATTTAAAGATTTTCATAAAGAAAGTAAGTAGATCATCTGGTTACAGATGATTACAGTTCATTTCTAACATCCATTATTTTAAAATAAAGATAACTTGAAAGTAACTGAATATTGCTATCAAAGCTAAGAAGGAAAAATTATATATTTCTAAAAAATGGAAACAGAAAGCTTTAAAACTCATAAAAATTTTGTAAGTATCTACCAATTCTAAAATTCTTTTTGAATATAATATGACCTATTTTGCTGACATATTGCCTACTATAGCAAAAACCAATTTGAAAATGACCGTAATTTGTTAACAAGAGTGTAAATGAAGTATAACTATATAATTAAATTTATTTCATGACTTTTAGACTAATATTCAAAAATGATGATGAGATGAAACTGGATTGATAAGTTCATACCTTTTTCTTTTTATTGTTTCATTATTTGCTTTTAACTTGTCATCTTCATTAGTGGTGAGACAATGCTGAAAGCATCAGCAATTTTGAAGAATAAATCACTACGAGATGATTACCATTAAAATAAAATTGACTTTCTAATAAGTATAAGTGAGATTCTGTTAAAAATATCAATAGTAGAAGTATTAGGGATACCATGCGAATCTAATCACTTTCATTATGTGAGTGATCAGAATAGATCATGAAAATGCTGAAGATACTCATCAACAATATCGCTATCAGTTATTTTGGTGATTTTGAGATGTTAAGGAAAATAAAATTTCTTGGTATCCAAATTTATGATAAGATTTATGATATATAATTAGCTGAATCAATATATAATTAATTCTTTTTCTCTCATAGACAATACATTTTATGTCTACTTCATAAGCATGCCGTTTTTGACAACATATTATTACAGGCTTGAGTATACATTCACATGCCTGAAAACAATGTGAACGCTTCACAAGGAGTTACTAAAATTTGCTTATAATCTATGAAAAGTAAGAGTAAGTTATTAGACAAAAGGATTTTTGGGTTAATAATACAAATTGATCTGAAGTTTTTCTTAAAATCAAATTAGGATCTAGTCAAATCAAGCGTATCAAACATTATAAGTTATATTGATGGCAGAAATAGTGAAGCAAGTGATATTTTGATAGACCCAGTCAAACAATCTCCAAAATAATCAAGGGTCAGAAAGTCATAGCTGTATTGCTTTGAACTTTTCTACGGCTTTTTTCCTCTAGCACTACTATTAATTGGGATGTCATTATAAAGTTAATTTTTGATGAGCCTTTCTTAATTTTTCTGGAGAAGCATCAAGCCTTATTTCTAACGTCTTATAAGGATCGGTTGAACTAAACTCAGCAAAACTAATATCTACTATTTTACATGTTTATTTTTTATGTAATTAATAAAATATTTGCTTACGAAAGTAATATAGCTGGTTGTGCAATTTTATGAACCACATGTTAATGCATTAAAAATGTATGTTAATCAGTCCTGAGATGGTTATTGTACAACCGGGCAGTGCGACAGGAAAATATTCGTTTTTCTAACAAATTTTTTATAATTCTTTCTTACTCAAATATGCAAATAGGACATTTTATTATAACGTCCTAAGACATATTAATTAGTAGATTATATCGTTCTAGGACATATTAGTCTTGAACAAGTAGTGTCCTAAGACATATTAATATAATATATTAATATGTCTTAGGACACTACTCCTCAAACTGAAGTATTATTTAAAATAAAAAAAAACAAATAAAAAATATTTATAAATTATTAATATCTTGGTAATAGTAAACGAACTAACCCTTAAAGCATACATAAGGTAGATATAATAAGTGTAAATGTTTTAAGTATTTATATATTTTTTATTTATTTATTTACAGAACTTTGTAATTCCATCTAATGAACTATTGAGGAATTGTAATTTATTGTGGGTCATAATGAATTTGATGCGTTTTGGATGGAAATGCAAAATTGCATTAGATTATATTTGGCTTCCCGATTTCTAGAACATAGTTTTTATACAATAACCTTTTAATTAGTGGCTGTCAAAATCTTTCTTACGAGTCATTAAAAATATTAAATATGTTGTATTTTTAATAAAATAATTGATTTTAAAGCTTAATCGCCACAGAATTAAACAGGTACATTAAAATCGATATCAAATTGGGGTGCGCGGTCAACTAATTTTATATGGTATCATTACTATTGAAAGATTTTTCATGTATTCACGTGCTTTTTTTTCTACATTTAAATAATATAAAAATACACAATAACCTAAAATAATGTGACACCTCGCTTTCTTGTGGAAAAACCAAACAGGCTATGATTTATAATATTTTTAATATTTTGTAGAATTTAGAACATAAAGAGTTTAAAGTTATGGAATTATGAAAATACAGTAGTACATCCGATTATATCGATTTAGTAAATGCATCCCCCAGTGTCACATGATATCACTGAATTTGTTAACCACTCGCAGAATTTACCGCAGAAAATCATTGTATTTTCACATGGCAAATGCATGATTAATGATGATATTAATGTTCTCTTATGTTTCATAGTTTTCTAGTTTTCTTTATTAACCATTGTGGTTCAATAGGATTTATCACACTTTTAAACCATACCAATTCACAATCATTTTTTGCTTTAATCTGATTTACGTTCACGATGTTAATGGAGGTAAGATCTAGATTGTTTAAATTTAAATATATATAACGCGATCTTTTAACATTAATTCGTTTATTTTGTAGATCATAAGTTTCTTCCTTTCTCCGCTTTCTTATCTCTTTGAACCTTACTTTAGTCGTGCTACTAATGTATTCACGTCACGAAAAACCCAACGTACAGCTGTAAAATCGATTTTTATATTTCTTCTTGTTGTAATTTTAGTTACTATTGCATTTCTAGCATACTTGGGTTTTTACATGATTTATGTCCCCAAAATTGCTCATGTAAAACCCATTTATTTGCAATACGAGTAAGTTTATAGATCATATATAAGGTTGTTGAAAATTTGTAATCATGCTAAAGGTTTTTCTCCTAAACAATATTTTCAGAAATGACAAACCTCCGTATGCAATAGTAGATTTCACGGAAAATGGCCAATACGATGCTGTACGTTAATTTATATATATATATATTGATCTTTTTGCTGTGTTTACGTTTAAGTTATTAAGCCATTTTTCCTTCCTTAGCTGTTAACAGCGGATCAAGCATATGATGTTTCAATTGATTTATATGTTCCTAATTCAGATAGGAATATTGCATTAGGTTAGTGAATATTTATATTAATACAAGCATGTTATTTTTATTAAAATTAATCATTATTTTTGTGGGATGGTAACTTTAATTAATTCTAGTTGTATATGATTCACCGTTTAGGTAACTTTATGATCGGTTTAGGATTAAGGGCCAAGAATGAGACGGTGCAATTTTCAAGTCGTCCGGTAGGTTTTTTTTAAAATCAAAAATTTTTTTATTTGAAAATGATCTATTTCAATAATCTTTATCTTAACTAGTGCATCCTTACATATCAATCGGGCATGCTTCGCGTCTTTTCCACTTTATGGCGATTAATTCCTTTGGTGTTAGGTTTCACAAAAGAAGATCAAAAACTAAAAATAGTTATGCTGGAAAATATGATTGAGAGTGAAGTAAGTCCTATATAAGTAAATTTTGTATAACTTGTTTATTTAATACATGCAAATTGATTTGGTCTGATTTTAATTATTTAGGAAAAGCCAATTACGGAAGCATTGATTACCATATCAAACAGTCATCTTGAGGTATATAACGCTCATATTCGATTGGATGCTCACTTCAGAGGCTTGCGGTATTTATTAAGATTAATTCATCAAAATAATTTTTAAATTTAAGTTCAAATTAGAAATTTAATTTTAAATTTTCTATTACAGATACTTTATGTATTACCATCCGATCCCCACTGCAATTACTTTCATGTCCATGTTTCTCACATGGGAAATATTATTTTCAATTTTCGCATGGAAGTCATTTGTCTCATGGTGGAAAAACAAAGCAATTGCTATGCAGAACGCTCCAATCACATCTGAAGGCGAGGTCGGAACAAGCAATAATACTGATGAAAATCAAGATGAAGATTCGGATAGAACGTGGTTGGAAGTTGGTCGACTTGGTGATACCGTAGAAAGAAACACGAATGATAATGAAACTTCGGAGAGCGAATATGAATCAGTAAGTAATTTACGTGATATAATTTTTGATAAACTGTATTAATATCATTAACTAATTCAATTTTAATTTAAAGTCCCGTCCTGGTTCTGTAATTTCACCTGCGGGTACAGCGTTAGTTTCCGAAGCTGGGGACACGAATTACAATACAGAATCATATATCACAGATGATGATGATTCACAATCACAATCACATAGTACCGTTTCACGAACTTTAGATGACAATGACGATACAGCATCAACAGAGAGTGATGATCAATTTGATGATGACGACCAAACAGAAGGAAGTGCTACACCAACTTCTCGAAGTCGTAGAAGTACAACATCTGCTGAAGCATCAACAAATGAATCAGAATTAGACGATAGACCTAGTTCTAGTATTTCAACGGCGGTATTACAGTCCAGATCGCCTAATAGAAGGACTGGTTATTAACTTGAGAAAAAGAATTAATGGATTATCAATAATTTCTTTTTATTATTTTCGATTTTTGTTTAGCGTCCTTTCCTTATAATCATTTCGTTAAACTTAATTTATAAATGTATACATACATAATCAGCAACTCATTTTTCTCTTGAAATATTGACGTAAATTATAATCATTATTATAACTTTTTTTAATTTTAAATATACCATTATTGTTTTTTCATTATTTTCATTATTTCATAGTAATACAAAATAAATTGTGATAAGACCAATATCTTAAACAAAGAATTTACTACTAAAGAAACTCTCGAATGGCCTGAAATGTGACATTAATGGTAGTTTTGGTTTTATAAAAACATTGGATGATATGTTTGCAGTAGGATCCGTTAGACTACAAAAAGAAAAGGTGGGTTAAAAAGTATACGATCATTGATTAAAGGTGTTCATAATTGTATACATACGTGGTAAAATGTTCTTTTCTCAACCATCTACCATTTAATTTTCTAGCAGTTTTCGCATTAGTTCTAGTACGCTGACCTCTTACGGGATAACCCATAGCATGTCGTTTACCTTTATAATCACCAATTGTTCTATGATGTAAAATATTATTTTTTACTTTACGACGTAAATCACTTTCTAAAGTCATATTTGATAATTCTAAGGAAATTGTGTTTAATTGAGATTCTGATAGATCAGAAACTTTACATGAATTATGAATTGAGAATTTACTACATATTTGTTGTGCTGTTTTAGGTCCTATTCCATAGAAATAAGTTAGAGCAATCTAAGGAAGATAATTTTTTTTTGTTAATTGTAATAAAAATTTGATGTGAATAATAATAGATAGAAGTAAGTACTTACTCTAAAAAGCTTTTTATCAGGTAAATTAACACCTAGAAGTAAAACTGTCATTATAAAATGCAAAAATCGAGAATTGTTTTTTTTTAAAGAAACTTTTTTTTTATGATATCGATGGAATCTGATTGGCTTATAATTTGATTATCCAATAATAATATTTTTTGTTCAATTCTAATCTATTTTGATCCGATCCAATTTTTTTGAAATTATTTTAACCAATTAAAAAATGGTAAGAATTGAGCAGATAAATTCCAAATTGATCTGTT